ATAAGCCTATACTTCAAGAGATAAAAATAAAGTAATAAAAGAACAAGCTAAATTAACCATAAAAATGCCAAAATGGAAATTTTTATTAATTTCAGCCAAAATGGCAATTGTTGTCGAAAGCGATTACAGAAGATGGTTACAAAAGAGAATCAATCAAAAGGAAAGAGAATTTTTGAGTCGAAGATACTTGGCATGCTGCAGATCCAACCTCTTCTTGCACCAAGATTTTTCTTGCACCAGTTTGGCAATTTGGGCGTCGAGGCTTTGAGCCCTCTCAGCGAATTCCAGGCCTTGCTGGATCTCAGTCTGGCTCTCAGTGTCTGGGATGGTCGAAAGAATTTCCTCCTGGAGCACAGTGTTGGCGTTTATCTTCGCCTCTATCTCTGCAATTTGTGCTCGGAAGGAGACATTCTCTCGCTCAATAGCATCGAACCTTTCCTGTGCAGACGCTTTCTGTTTCGACAACTCGGCAATTCGAGAAGTCGAACTTGAGACAGCAGTCCACGCAGATAAGCTCTTGCCATGCAGCGTTTCGAGCTGACTGTTAAAAGTTCGTTGGCGCCGGTAATCCGCTGAGACTTGATCAATCATAGAATGTAATTCCATGATTAAGTCTGAGATTTCTGGGGCTACAGCATCGAAGTCAACAGCATTCAAAACCTCTTTTAAGCAAGATGGAGCAGTGGGGTCCCCCTCTAAAGCCTTCATTAAATCTCTCTTGAAGAACTGGGCCTTGACCTTCGCCAACGCATCATCAAGAGGAGAAGTCTCAGTAGATTTCCCCGACAGAGTAGGAATTTCCTGACTGGTGTCGGAAGAACTCTTACTCTCGACGATTGCATTAAGGTAGCTGACAGGGTCAGTTTGTTTCAAGATTTCCAAGTCCTCTTTCGACCTGTGCTTTGAGGAGGTGACCCTTGCCATAGTATTATCTTGGACTTGAGTCTGTTGAATGCTGAGGGCCTCGTTTGGTTGCTCTTCGACTTGGACGGAGGCGGTACTAGCGTTGACTTGTGGTTCTTCGTTAACATCACCTTGGGGTCCTTCGCCAGCGTCATTTTGTGGCTTTTCGCTAGCGTCACCCTGGTGGTCTTCGCCAGTACCACCTTGATGCTCTTCGTCAACAGTATCTTGATTATCTTCGCCATTGCCTTGGTCTCTTCCTTCAGGATTCTCTTCTGACGACAAGTCTACCACAGGAACCGTTTCTGGCTGTGTTTCCTCCGCCATAGGCTCTTCAGTTGTTTTCTCCACTGTTTCAGCATTGGCCTCAGTCTCAGTGTGGGCTTCGTCATTGCCTAAATTTTTCTCCTGAGGCCTGCTGAGTTCAGCAGATTCTAGAGTTTCTGAAGTCCTTGGTGGAGAACTTTCAGTAGTGTCCTGAAGAAAAGAAAGAAGACAAGTCTTCAGATGTCGAAAGAGACGTAATCGAATACTGGTATCTATGCCTAAGTTTTGAGAAGGGTCCAATAGATTACCTGTGGATTAACTTCAGCCCCAGGGCTGGAATTGTCACTTTCGACAGGCTTGGTAACAAGAGCGTTCAGTTCCTCCTCAGTTGGTTCCTCGATGACCACTGCAGGTGGCCTAGGCTTTCTCACACCAACCTTTATTCTGACGGTTCGACCTTCAGGAGCTGGAGTAGGAACAGAAGCGTCCTTCGTTAACTTTCGCCTCTTTAGGGGAGAAGGAGGGGAATCACTTTCGTCATCACTCCCCGATTCGATCACCAATGCTGCCCTTTTCTTGGGCGAAGGGGCCTATAAAACCAATAGGAATTCGATTGAATAGTTACGTCGAAAATAAATAATCGAAAGCCAGAATGAAAATGAAGAAAATCTGGTTACCGATGCAGGAGGCCTCCTCGAAGAGCCTTCCCCCTGTTGGTTGCCCGTTGTCTTCGCCGGCGCTATAGTCTTCGCCGGCGGTGGAGGTTTTGTCGAAGGGACCCTTCCCTGTGGGCCTTCTGTAGCCTTCTTGGCTAGGGGTTTTCGAACAACTGAAAGCGAAAAGGAAAGTTAACAGGCTAACAGTCGAAGAGAAAGATAAAAAGTAAATGTGAGAGCATGAACTTACATTTCTTTACTTTGTCCAACACAAGGACAAAAGATTTCTGCAACTCTGCTATGAAGTCCTTCTCGTCGAAGAAGTACTCAGCATAATAGCTTCTCCACCACTCTTCAAAAGATGGTGAGCAAAGGAAGTTAAGCTGGTAGTTGAACAGCGAGAGGATTGTTCGACCGGCATATCTTCCGATATGCTTGGTAGCAGCTTCTTCTGTATAATCGTTGCAGAAGTACAACATTGACTTCTCTCTTTGGAAAATGGGAGAAGGCAGGGTTTGGATGATACCAAACTGGCGAGATACCAGATTTGGTTGATAGGCAAGCAGACTCAGATGAGTCTTTGAACTCTTAAATCGAAGAGGCATGATCCTGGGTGTCAGGAACGCCTCCCAAAGTACAGTGTGCTCATCGACGTTGGGACCACTCGACTCCTTTGGATGTGGCCTCGTAAACCATGCTGGCCCCACCTTCCGTTGAGCAAATGGAGCCATAGTCGAAACAAATTCCTTCCTTCGAGCGAACATCAGCACGAAGTTAGTGAAGGTTTGTTGGAACTCTAGCCCATCTTCTACAGGTGTCAGTAGAGCCAGCCTAATTCCTTCGATACGTCTATTAGCTATCGCTGGGGCTTGTTCATTTATCTGAGTCTTCTTGGGTAAGAAAGATTCGAAAGTGGCGTTGAGCCACAGTTGAAGTAGCCAGAAAGGCCCAGCGAGTAGCAAACTGTTCCTATCTTCGACATGTTTCAAGAGAGTAACCCCATTGCTGATTGAGTCATAAAGACTGGCCAGAATTAGTTCTGCCAAACAGATGTTCTGGCGGTGATGCAGTTGGGTGGCCAGAGTGACCATCTTTTTGGTCACTTGTAGAGACTTCGAACAAAACACAAAGCGAGTTAGCCATAAGGCTAGAAACGCTATGTGTTCGACATCCGACACTGTATCCGTCGACCTGTCGTGATAATGGTTGATAAAGGTAGTGAATGTTGGCTTGGTTTCAGAGAAGCCAATTTGGTCCTCCGACATCTCTTCCGGGTCGAAGTAATCTCCGGTTGGTCGAAGGCCAGTGATGGCTGCTACGTCGAAGAGTGTGGGGGTTAACATCCCACATGGAAGGTGAAAGGTGAAGTGAGAGTTATCCCAGAACAGCATCGAAGCTATAAGCATCTCTGGGGAGTAGTTTAAACCTGTCTTCGACAGCATTACTAGGTCAAAGATTCCCATTTCCTTCCAGACTGGAGTTTGATGTTTCTCCAACTTTGCTAGCCAAGCAACATAGTCAGAGGTCAGATTAGGGCAAGACCTAAAAACTCTAACACTTCTGTTGAAGAAACGAAGGTCGATCTTCTCGTGTGTAGGGTCTTCGTTGTCCTCTGCGTCCTTCTTGGCGCATGCTACTGGCTTGAGTTTCTCAACGATGGGAAAATAGCTCTTGATCTTCAGAGCTTCAGAGATGCTTGGGTTCATGGGTCCAGACATTGCGAAGATCTGGTTGGAGTACCCAACCGGGATCATCAAGTGACGCGAGTAAGCATCGCGAACGGAGATGTCAGAAGGTTCAGGGACCCTTCGTTTCCCTGTAGCGTTCACTACCGGAGCAGTAACAAAGACCTTAGGCTTAGCAAGTTGTTCAGTTGGTGCGTTAGTCTTGGTGGCAGTGGAAGCAGAAGCCATTGTTGAGGATGAAGATGAAGTTGGAAAAGGAAGAGTTTTTCTGCAAAGAGAACAAGTTTGTATGAAAGCAAGGGAGTTTGAGGGCTAGTTTGCGTGAAAAGTCCCACAATGGGATATTCACTACTATTTATAGTAGTGGGAGAAGTTCCCAATAACGAGGACATTAAATGTCATTTAATGCTGCAGGAAGTAGTGGGACGCGTGGCAGCATCCTGTTGTTTTGGCCGTTTCTGCAGAAACAGAGAGACGCGGCGTGCGTCCTCGTTTTTTGGATTTGTCATAATGACAAATTTTGAAGTGACGTTTGGTACTGCACGCCGTACTGACAGTGACGTCCTAGGATCAAATCAATGATGGTTTCTTGGGATTGCCAATAGTTGGTAAAAAACAACAAAAAGTGCACAAGTTAACTTGTGACTAAGCGTGGAAGAGCAGGTGTCGAATGGCGTTTTCAAAGAATGCCTTTTTCTTTCAGAGTCGAAATAAGGCATTCTTAGGGGGCAATTTGTTGGCTCCTAAATTCGACACCTTTGTTTTGATTGATGGCAGCCATTAAAAGCTGAAAGATGCTTTCGACTGGCTAAGCCTGTCGAAATGCCCGTCGAAAGATGGCAAAGTACTTAGGAGATTTCTTCCAAGGAAGAAGGCTGATTGCCTTCGACGTCGAAGGAGTTTTCGTCGAAGACGCTTCCTGATGAAAGTGTTCGATGATCCAGAGTGGAGCAGTTTGAAATTCAAAGCTTTGGAGGGAAAACGGTTTCCAGCAGTTACCACGTGCAAACGTGCAAGGATCTGGAGCGTCGAACATGGAGAACGTGACAAGTGGCTTGATCTCGAAGCAGTGTAACTGCCCGACGGTTACTTGGAATGGTTTTGTATAAATAGGAGTAGACGTGTAGTTTCTCGCGTGTGTTCACAATAGATACATAGTCACTCATTTAGATTCAAGTACCCAGTGTGAGCGAACGAATTGTTGAGAAATGTATGTGTGAAACACCAATTTTATCAATTCAAGTCATTTACTTTTCCAGTATTTTACATGCTTTTCCCCTTTAAGATTCCTGTCGAACCTTTACATTCAAGCCTTGTTTATCTTACCAAGCCTTTCCTTTATGCAATTTACTTTAAACAATTTACTTAAAGCCTTATCCACATTAATTAAACTTCAAAATCAACCTATGTCCATAGGATCAATCTGATCGATCCTGCGAGTAACCAAATAAGTAACCATTTGGAGGATCAGCGGGTGTTTGATAGAGAAATGGACGCTAGCAGCATCAATCCTGGTCAGCAGGTAAGTTTCCGCACTGTCTACGCCGTAATGCTGTTGTTCTTGTTGAAGTTGTATTTGAGTCTCTCGTTGTTAAGTAAGGTTCTTTGGGGTGTGCAATTTATGCAGTTGGACACCCTTATATTATGAGCTAGGTTTTGAGACTGAGATCTTTAGGAAGAGTAATTTTTTCATATCATTGAGCAGATCTTTGAGAAGACAATCTCAGGAATGTATCTAGGAGAAATTGCGAGACGAGTGCTACTTAATATGGCTGAAGAGGATGATTTGTTTGGAAGTTCTGTCTCTAAAAAACTCTCTATGCCGTTCATACTCGGGTACATTTTAACTCCAAAGTTTAATTCTGCAACTCAAATCATATAATAGTAGGAGAATTGCTAGCAATACACTAGATATGCTATGAATTTTGATTGTTAATAGAGTTTGGTGATTTTAAAACTAGTGTCATTCTATATTAGCAGATATGTGACACTTTCTTTGCTCCCAAGTAATTATGTTTTATTTGAGATGCAAATTATGTTTATTATGTCATATCTTCAGTTTAAATTTTGAGTTTTATTATTGTTAAAAACTTAAAATATGCTAACAATTTACAAGTGCTTTTAATAGGACTCCCGATCTATGTGCCATGCATCAGGATGATTCTGGCGATTTAAAAACTATCGGGTCTCTCCTCTATGATAAAGCAGGGGTAAACTTTTTGAACTGTTCTTTCATGACACTAAAATGTGAAAGAAAAAAACGTAGTATTAATGTCAATCATTAATTTTGCTTTTCTGTTATCTTTTAACTCACTTGTTCTCTTCAGGTTGAATCCAATCTAAGTGAAAGAAAAGCAGTTCTAGAGGTTTGCGACACAATTGTAAAGCGAGGAGGTAGCTTAGCTGGTGCAGGAATTGTAGGAATTCTGCAAAAAATGGAAGAGGACTCAAAAGGTGACATCTTTGGAAAGAGAAGTGTTGTTGCCATTGATGGTGGTTTGTATGAAAATTATCCTCAATACAGGACTTACTTGCAAGATTCAGTAAAGGAGTTGTTAGGGACAGAGAAATCAAACAATGTGGTCATTGAACATTCCAAAGATGGTTCTGGTATTGGAGGTGCTCTATTGGCAGCTTCAAATTCAATGTACAAACAAGATTGAACATTTTGTTCAACTAGTATACAATTATTAAAATGGAGTTAAATTAGAATTTGTAGCATAAGCATATGTATGAAATATTGAAATCACCTTTGAGGTCTTAAATAAGTGTTACCGTTCAAAAAATAAGTGTCCAAATAAGTGAAATGTCAGAGGTTTCAAATTCACACTCTTACATTTAATATCATGACTCTTATTTTAAGAGGCAGGGAATAGCATTTAACTAGTCATTTTATATCAATTATAGGGTGTAATTGATTTTATATGAAAAATATAACTTATGTATAAATGCACTAAATTATTTGTTATTAATAATATAAAAAATTAATCATTAATGTCATAAAAAATTAAAAGAATAAATAGTGAATGATATAATAGAAAATAAATTATTAATATTGAATTGGTAACTACTTATACATTTATAATTTGTTAGCAAACACCAAAATCCAGAAAAATAAGCACAAATTAATATCCATCACTAAACCCATATTTTCATCAAATATGAGTCAAAATCAAACACCAAAGTCCAGAAAAATAATCAAAACCGAGAACTAAAAATCAATGTTTTCTCAAGAATCTCATCAAACATCAAAAATTGAAAATTGCCTCCAAAAACCCCTTAGAATCTAAAACTTAAAAACTCAAAATCGAAAATCAAAACTAAGAATAAAAACAAAAATCAAGTTAAAATTCATATTCAAAAGTCATTTTTTCGCAAGAATCCCTTCAAACATCAAAAATCAAAATTCCCTCTAAAATCCCTTATAATCAAAATTCAGAATATTAAAATCGAACATAAAAACTCATTTAAGAAATTTGAGATAATGTAAAAGAAATAACATATGTAGCTTCTTAGTTTTTAAAAACACGCGCCATTTAAGTAGAAGAGAGGAAGTGAAGTAAACCCTATAAACAATGACATTCGATTCAGTCCTCTATCTCGTGTTAATCGTTATATAAGAGGATGTATTTGGGACTTCAACAGCACAAAGAAATTTAGGGTTGTAATAATCTATATTTTCCTTTTTTTTTATTTTTGATGTTATGGGTTTTAATCGATATGATATAAGAATAAGGTGATAAGAAAATTATAATGGAAAAGAAGAAGTAACTAGCATACGAGCGAGACATTTCATTATGTTCTAATTGTTGATGAATTTAAGATGAAATTCAATGTTGGTGTTAATCAATCAAATCAAATATTATTCAATTCAGTAGTTTTTGATTTTTCTTTTCTAAATATAATTTCTATTTTACTTTTTTTTAACTCAATTGAAAAATTAATTCTTTAAAAAAATTAATGCTAATTTTATTTAAATTAGTAATTTTGTATTTAAATTTAAATATTTATATTATTATGTTATTATTAAAATAAAATACAATTATAAATAACATGAAATTTAAACTATTTCACTTAGAGAATAATATTCATACACAGAATATTATTCATTAATTATAGTGTAAGGTTTTTTTACACATTAATATTTCATATGCTATGTCATAAAAAATGACACCAAAATAAACAGAGCACTAAAATTCAAAATTATAAAATAGAGAGATCAAAATTAAAAATATAAATACCAAAATTACAATTAAACCAACAATAAATTAATATAAGTTTTAAATACAAAATAATGTCTAACATTAAAAAACAATAAATCAATACTAATTTTTAGTAGAGCAATTATAAAATTACTCAACCAGAGAATAATGAACTTGATATTTTAAATTACCACACACAATCATATATACTCATGGATGATAGCAATGATTGTGGGCTTGTCCTTGGAAAGGCAATATGTTTTCCATCCCAATTTTTATCCCAATTATACGCCATATATTTCCTAATAAGAAACTCAAGTAGGGATGTGAAAAAAAACCAATAACCATAAATTAAATTTGTATCCATATTAATTCATATATTAAAATCCAATACAAAATTATATTTTAAAACTGGTGGTCTATTTATCAAAAACAAAAAAAAAAACTGGAAACCATTAATCAATTTGGATTAGTCTATCGGTTACCACATTTGAAACACTCTCAAAACTCTCTTTTATTGACGGCAACAATCTTCAATTACTTAACCCTTCAAACCCAAACGGCCGCTGCTTATTCCTCTGCCGCTACCGCCTATTCCTCTGTCGTCACCGCCATAAACGTTTTGTTTGCCGTCACAAACGTCAACTCTAAATCGTCAACTCTACATTCAATTCCCTTGGGTAATTCCTTTTCTTCTTCTCAACAATGGCTTCATGGGTAGTGCTCACTATGATCCTTTTTTGATTACCCACTTTTTAAAATCAGTTTTGTTTGTGTTATTGAATCTGCTGAAAAACAAACTCTTTCTGCTACCTCAAAAGCTGCATCAAGAATGGTCTCTAACAGGTAAAGGAGGACTCAATCTTATAAGGAATATACTTTTGTTGTTGCTAACAGATAAGCCTTGGTCATCAATACATTATTATTTACATTTTTATACATCTATCATACTTGGGGAACAACAGGTTTGGGGAAAATGCTGGGGAAGCTACTGAGCATGTGTTTGCAACTGCAGGACATGTTGCTAACACTGCTTGGAATGTCTTTAAGATACGAAAGGCCATCAATCCAATTTCATCAGCAACCAAGGGTGCACTGAAAAATGCTGTCAAAAATATAACTTTTAAGCATTAAATTCCATACAAGTTTTGTATACATGTACTCATTTCAATTTTAATTTTTCACCATTTAAGAAGTAAAAGTTCTAAGGTTTGATTTTAGAAGGATGTATCAGAAGATGAATTCAAATTAGAAAACATTAAGTAAAGATTCTTAAAATTGATTTTGAAATTGGTTTTTTATAAAACTGGTTTTGAAATCGATTTTTTAAAGAAAATTAAAAACTGGTTTTTAGAAAAATCAGTTTAAAATTGGTTTCTTTTTAAAAACTGGTTTTTGTGAGAAACCGGTTCAAAACCAAACCGATCCACATGTAAACCGATTTTAGAAGTATAAACCGGTTTTAATGAAATAGTTTTAAGATCCAAACCAAATCATATATATGGTTCAATTTGGTTTAGTTATTGATCCATGCACACCCCTAAACTCAACTTCATACACAAAGTTGCTCTCATATCCCCACCTATTCGGGTTGTTCAATGACTTGCAGCTTTTCCTCGAAACATGAAATAATGCAATGTCACCCAAGCAATTCAATTCAACATAATTCATGGTTAACCAATCTATCTTGTAAACTATCATTTGAGATCTAGAAGGACTCGATACAATAAAAGTTGTCCGTCACACTTACAAATATTAGTGTACAAGAATCAATGACGAACAAAAATGAATTTAAGAAAACAAAGAGAATGACGGCTGTAAAAGCTGTAAGAAAAATAAAAATATTGTTGTTATTTATGACATTTACAACTAGTCTATTTATACACACAAAAAAATGAATGTCACGTAGACCATAATAAAATAAACTTAATGATTAAGTTATCAAAACAACTAGAAATACTAAAATACCCTTTAATACCATCCCTTAATTTAGGTTTTCTAATTAAAACTAACTACACCAATTCCATTCTTTAAGCAAAGAAATTGATCTGTCTTGATTGCTTTTGTCATTATATCTGTTGGTGCACAAGGAAGAGATAAAAGGCAAAAAAAAATAATTTTACTGGCAGTTTCAAAATAAAGATTTAGAATGAATTACAATAACCTACTCCACTAGGCTCTTTATACACACAATTATGTCTTCTAACAAAGATATAAAAAGATATAATAATATCCTCTAAAAAGATATTCCTAAATATAAATCAATATCTAAAATATAAATTAAATCTAACACCATCCCTTAATTTATATTTACCAAAAACTGACAACATTAATTTCATCCCTCAAGCGAAGAAATTGATTAGTCTTGATAGCCTTTGTGAGAACATCTGCCAGCTGCTTCTGGGTGCTACATTGCACAACTTCTAATATTCATCTTTGAACTTGATTCCTCAGAAATTGATATTTGGTCTCAATATGCTTGCTTCTCCCATGCAACACCGGGTTCTTGGCAAGATTGATTACAGACTTGTTATCAATCATCAACTTCAAAGGTTTGTCTACTTTAATCTTCAAATCTTGCAGCAAGTTCAGAATCCATACAGCTTGACATGCAGTCAGAGCGCCTGCAATATATTCAGCCTCACAGGTTGACAGAGCAACAACAGGTTGCTTCTTGGAACACCAAGAAATAAGACCTCCCAGAAATTTGAATAAGTACCCAAAATTACTTCTTCTGTCAACTCTATCTCCGCACCAATCAAAGTCTGAATAACTCAAGTTCTGATTCAATCTTTTTTTTCCAGACGGAAATAACATTCCATACTTCAGAGTTCCCTTTACATACCTCAGAATCCTGACATCAACTTGATAATAAGACCACTTTGGTTTATTCATAAATCTGTTGACCATTCCAACTGCATAGAAAATATCAGGTCTGGTATTACATAAATACCTCAGAGAACCAACCATCTATTTGAAGGTTATAGCATCCACATCCCCTCCATCAGAATCAGAGTCCAACTTCTGATTTGTATCAGTAGGTGTGATAGAAACTTTGAAATTTTCTAGCTTAAATCTCTTCAGAAGCTCAAGTTCATACTTCATCTGATGCAAAATGATTCCTTTCTCATAATACATAAACCCCACCCCTATAAAGAAACTCATTTTCCCAAGATCTGTCATCTCAAACGCATTCATCAGAACCTTCTTGAACTCAGCTATTTCTTGTTCATAACTTCCTATGAGTAATATGTCATCAACATACAAGCAGACCAAAATCATATTACCTTCTGAAGTATGATGAACATAAACACCATACTCTATCTCACACTTCTGAAAACCTTTTTCCTTGAAAAAAGAATCAATCTTCAAATTCCAAGCTCTGGGCGCTTGCTTCAATCCATACAAGGCTTTGTGTAATTTGAACACTATCCCTTCCTGATTCTTTTTCTCAAATACAG